GAGAGAGAGAAGAAGAGAGACACGTAGCACGCAGCCAATAGACGATCAATCATTCCGTAGACGTGTTACACGGTGCGGTTTCCGGTACAAATAGGGTTGGAAAACGTCGTCGATTGCAAGGATCCGAAAAATCGCGGAGATTCGCGGGATGAAGAAGAAGAGGGGGGAAAAAAGAAGCCAGAATGCTGGTTCATTGAGGTGGCTTCTCGTGCGGTTGCCGATGACACGTTGGAAGAGAAAAAACAGGAAGAAAACCTGTTGCCCCGTACGGGCCTGGAGAGACCCGCTCCCGAGGTCTTCGCGGAGGCGAAGGCGGCCTATGACCGCGTGGAACAACATTGAAAACCAGAACCCAGATCTCCAGGACCGGTTTTGCGCTTGGAAAACAATTTTACGATCTCGAGGGAGCTGGAACTTCGAGGAGGAGAAAATAGTGTGTGTGTGTGTGTGTTGTAGAGAAGGGGAACGAAGGGAGAGATTGGACGAGAGTGTGTCTCAACGGGGCACGCCGTGCCCAGATGGACGTGTATACTCGTCGCAAAGCGAGAAAAACGACAAAGAGGGGGGAAATAAAAGGGGGGGAGGAGAAAAGAAACGTTCGGAGTCGTTGAATAAAAATAATCGTTCGAAGCAACGAGCTCCGTTCAAAGCGATCCTTCACCACCCCTCTTTCTCTCTCTCTCTCTCTATGTTAATTCCACGTTCAATTTGCGCTGAAAACACTTCAAAGAAACACGGACCAGACGAATTTCCACCGGAGATTCGTACGGAAAAATCGTGGAACGCAAAGCTACCGTTTCACCATGTTCACGCGGCATTGCGTAACGCGACAGCGGCACACGGAGAAAAAACATTAGAAATGCAAAACTGCGCAGCGGCGGCAACGACGACGGCCACGATACACGCCCCGGCGAAACCTGCCCCTCGTAAAAGGAGACGCGGAACGAATGATTTAACGTTCTGTTATTCACGTGCCAATTTTCTGCGTAGCGCGGCGATTCTGGTCTCTCGCAAAGCGTCTTAGACGAGCCCCGCTCGTACGCCGCGATTTTTCGAGGATCGACGATAGATCGGCAAAGAGGGAGAGATAAGAGAGGCCTTCATTCGACGACCGGCCGGCTCTTCGAGGTTTATGAATGAAACCGGGGAACTTTGCATGCAAATCGCGAGGCGCACGAGGTGGGCAACGTGACCGGCTAAATCCTTTTATCCGGCCACGATTCGGCCAACCTGGGCTACACTTTGCTCTCGGTATCGAAAATTTCTCCGTTTGGAAATTAGGGGAACGTGACCTGGATGCAATTGCTGGATGCAAAGTGCCTTTATCATCGAAACTTAATTGCACGCTGTGTAGACCTTCGATTAAACGTTACACGAAGGAATCTACCGTTTGGAGAAGGCAACGAAAAATATTCCCAGAGGAGGAAGCTGAACACGGCTATTACCGTCCGAAAAGAAACTCCTTTGGAGAGACGGCCTATTGTACGGCCCCTCTCTGACGTTCGTAGATTACTCAAAATGATTGGACCAGTTTTATTTCGATTACTCGAGCTGATTAAAGAAAGGACTCCCCCAGTCGAACGAGATCATTTCTGAAAGCCACTCGTGTTACACAGCCCCTCTCTGAACACCGTTCGAAAACATCGAGACGGATTTTTTCTTCCTCTCGTCGTTCACGCTAATCTAATCGCTCGAAACGGTTGAACGTCGCGCGTTTTTTGGGCCGCTCGACGCGAAACAAAGCAACACACACCCGTTCAATTATCGTCCGCTGAGAAATTCCACGGACAAACGCTGGATAACACGCGTCAATTCACGGCGAAACACGCACCCGAGCGCCTACCTCAACCGGTGAACTTTGATATTCAACGCGGCGCGCATTGATAAGCACCGCGGACAATATGAACGATGAAAATTAACAAGGGAACAGAGAAAAATTTGTGTGTAAATTTTCGCCGAACAATCCGCATTTTGTGTAGATTTCTTTTCGTTCGTATTGGCGGCGATAAGACTTTACGTTAAAAAGTAAATACAGGAGCTTCTACGACGAGGATCGAGAATTGCGTCAACGAAATGATCAACACGAGAAACAGGAATTAGCAACGGAGTGCTGGATCGCGTGTAAAGATATAAATTAGCGTTAAACATGTTGGAAAAACTTGTACCGCCGCGGTAATTTGTGGACACCATGAAACAATGTTAAACTAATCGGCGAATGTGTTAAACGAGTGCGCATTACGTACGGCAGAAAAACAGTTGCTCGTTTATGCAGGTAACCGTGATAAGAAGGCTGCAGAGAATGACGAAACGCGGCTAATAAAAAGCTAAGATTATTACAAAGTTAAGGTTGTCCTCCGGATATCTTAAAAATATCGCCTCTCGTGTAAAGTGCTGCACACGGATCGAACGTACTTATAAAACACTGTTACGCACTTACTTAATAATAGGTTCAATCTTCTCCATTAGCGATCGTACCTTGGCAACGTCTTGGCACGCTTTCGATCAATTTTTTGATGCGCGAGATTGGTAGCGATATTCGTATTTCTCGAATACGAGTTAACGAGTTAAATACGGTATTTTTTTTTTTCGAAACTTTTGCTTTACGATGGACCGTACATTTTCGAGAATATTTAGTTGGGTGAATGCCTAACATCCTAGTTTCCAAATTTTTTCAGAAAAGAATTTTCGAAAAATCGGAAGAATCACTTGATTCCGTTTTTTCCAAAATTCATTTCTGGTCGTTTCGAACGACTCTTCAAATCTCCCAAACTGCACTCTAATTCTCTACGGGAAAAACAGCGGTGAAAGAAAAACATCCTATACATTCAGATTATCACGGTCTCCTTCGCTCTAGCTATCGCATTTCGTAAATATCGTGGATATACGTTCCTCGTGAGACTAACTGTAACATAATGCTTCTGAACGAACAGGCAAGGTTAAGAGACACGTATATACAGTGTTTGTCTATGTATGGAAATTATTCGTCGTGTTCACCTCGTAAATTTAACAACGTTATACATAGTGGGTACAAAATTAAGTCTGCGCAGGTAGCTGCTGTGAAATCAACAAGGTGGCATCCACACGCACACACACGCTAACGCGTGCACACACAGACAGACACCAGGTGGTCTGCGCGTCGATTTTGGGTGAACGCTCAGGATGACGAAACGCGTCAATAAAATTGGCAAAGTGACACAGGGCCGTGGCGGTAGGTTAGGGAGGGGTGAACCTGACGCAATAATGGCTACTCCTGCGAGTCATCCCTGACCGGGCTTTACCTGCTATGTATTACTAAACTCCTAAGGAAATGGTCTAAAATACGGTTACGCGGCTTATGAAATCCTCTGTCGAAAGGGGATCTCCGATGCGGAAATAGAACGAGAGATTTGCCAGAAACGGTGTACAACACACTTCCGTAGACGAGCGATTAAATTTAAGGCGGAATTTTCGATCGTTTTAAATATCGGAATTTTTCGAAAAGTTAGGTTAGGTGTTGCGAATATCGTTCGAGACGGTTCGACGTTTTTTTTTTTTTCCCGATTGAAAAGGTACAAACAACGGAGATAACATTTCCGTAAGGTTTCTCTCTTTTCATGGAAGCGCGCTTTTCGAACAGAGTCAGCCTTTCATTCGTTATCGAGCGAGCGTAACGCGTGCGCGCGCTGGCCCGCGTGAAAAACCGACACACGATCCTCTCGCGCACGCGAGACAAAACGACCGGCGGCAGCTTCGTGCCGAACGAGCTACACACAATTCAACGAGCATGCACGCGGATCGTGAATCGAATCATTACGCTTCTCTCCCCCTAAACAGAATCAATTACCTAGTCGTTGTTCTATTATTCCAACGAATCTATCGAAACAAGTGTATATAGATGTACCTTCGGGAGAGAATATTTCGTTTCGTTTTTTCTTTTCTTTACTGGTTAATTGACAAGCGTGTGTGTGTGTGTGTGTGTACGATTAGAGTTTTATCGGTCGTACACAAGAGATAAAAGAAACAAACATGCATGCACACAATGATATCGGTAGCGGTACAAGCGAGACACGTTAAACTGAATAGTAAAGAAACGTGTGCGTGTGACGAATCACAGAGACACGTTGAAAACGTCGGAATTAATTCAAGATACGTGTGCGGAGTATTAGATTCGGTGGCTCCGAGAGAGCGAGGTCGCGATGTTCACGCGACTCTTTCCGACTCTTTCTACCAGGCCTATTTACTCTCACCGTCTCGCTCTAACATTCGTATTGTACTCTATTTCTGCCCCGGTGAGTCGTAAACTCTCGGTGACTTTCCGAATGCACCGGTCACATGCGTGCGCGAACCAGCAGATACGTATACACATGTACACACAGACGCGAGCGAGCGACAGAGCAACGGGGTGGTGTGCCTGTGTGCACGCTATACGTGTGCATAGAACGGCTGTAATTACGAAAAACGTGGCGGAGACGGCCGAAAAGCCGGTCGATCCTCCCCCTCTCGCTGTTACCAAGCGAAAAAAAACAAAAAAAATATAGGCGAGTAGCGACGGCGCATTCGTGTCGAAAGCGACAGCCGGCTGTTCCGGGCCGGGAGTGACGGAAAAGTACGACAGAGAGATAGAGAAATGAGAAAAATAGAATAGTATATTAAAAAAAAAAACTCACTTCATTTCCAATCTGACCCATGCTGGCGGCACCACCACAATTCGCGATCGTATCCGCCTTCGGGTAAGACTCGGTCACGTTAGCCACAGGAATTTTGGACGATTTTAATAAATACACGTATGTGTAATAGAGATTTTACACGAAAGACTTCGGTAGTATTATATATGTATATATATATATGTACGTAATAATAATAAAAAAAAGCTCTGTTCTTGGTTTCTTAACGACGATCTAAGCTCTCGGTAGAAAAAGACGGGGATATATATATATATATATATATACGTGTAACGACGAGGATTATATATATATGTATACGTTTCCTCGCGACGATGTTTTTTAAAAAAGATCGTTCACCGGCGAGTTTTAACGGTGGGTCTTCCTTTGGGATAGGACGTCCGTGAGTTGTCACACACGAGGAACACCGGCGTGAAATTACCAGTCATAATAAATATCACAGAAGTATTGCTGGTACCCTTTTTCGCGTTCGGGTATTGATGCAACAGGCTCGATCGAATCTTTTCGTACGCTCGTTATCTATCGTGAGAGAACCGGTCGTACGGTAGAAAAGAGAATTGTCGATATACGGAAAGTAGTAAAAAGGCAGAAAAAGAGACTACTATGATTCGTTCACAACACCGACACACAATTTTCAAGTAAGAGCACAAGAATCAGGTTACACTGAACATTACGTGCTGAAGGGAGTTTCTACGGTGAACGATGTGTACGGAAAGAGAGCCGGTTGCTAACTGACGATAACTGATGCCTCGATAGCCTAGCTGAGACGTGATCATCTGATCGGGCGGTCGTGGTGGGAGAGCGAACAGCTGGTGGGGGAACTTGCCGGTTCCTCGAGCCTGCTATTGGTCGACAGTGCCGTAGCAACAGCGCGTGCCGCGCCACCATCGTCTCCGTGAAATTCTGATAAACCGTAGAAAAAAACGAGGGTTTTGCTTACAGATAATTCGTGATTCATTACGACGTTTCATGAATATGTAACTCGGCGATCCGTCCACCCTTGAGACGACGTACAAACACGAGAAAGAGCATCGACGGGGAATGTTTGCGTAGGAAGATATAGATACGAGGCTGGCGCACGCAGGCGGCCGGCTTGATCAGCTGATGCCTTAGCAACAGGAGTACGAACTGTGCTAAAAATATCGATCCCATCTGATTATCAGCACGATGCAAGCTGTAACGTGTTATGCGGTCTGTTCTGGTAAAAGTAAACGAGGAATACACACCGGTTTGTCCTGTGCTTCCCTTGACTTTTCGCCGATTCCAACTGAAGTCGAGAGAAAGTCAAAATCACAAGCTTACGAACCGTGTGTTGTTGCTAGACGGAGCTCGGGAAGGGTATACGTGTACTACGGGTTGCCGGGCGATTTAAATCTCCGCGTATACTCTCTTCTAGCTCTGTCGTTACCAGGTATATAGGTACTCTTTGTCGTGGATTTTTTTTCTTTTCCTTCTTTTTCTCGACGAAACTACAACTGGCAATCTCCCCTTGCGTAATCGGAAAGTGTATAATCTTCGAAGGCAAAACGTTGCTCGCTTTGTTTATCGGCGTTAATGAGAAGCCTCCTTCTTCACCGAGGGGAGAACATTATCGCAATCGGTGTATATACGTAAGAGAGAGGAACGCTACGATTCGCGAATATTCATCGTGATAAATGTTCGGTGGTAAATGTACGGATCAATGAAACCCCTCTGCTTGTAAGTAAAGAAAGGAGAAGAAGATGAAGCCGGCATTCAGGGCCTTTAAGGTTCCTTTGTCTTCCAAGGACAACGTGAAATAAAGACTCGGAAAGGAAACGAGGAAGGGCCTTCCCCCTTTCTCATTTCCGCAAAATACCGACCGCCCTTTGTAGCGACCGTCCACGAAACCGTCTTTCACCAAGGAAACCCACGGCGCGCTCGCGCTCCGCGGAATTTTTCACGCGAGTCAAACGAAAAAAGAAAGCTCCTCGCGTTTAACTTGTACGGTGTCTCATCATCGCCGTAAGAATAGAAGCACCGTGTCAGCTCTCGCTTAGCCGAGCACAATCACGCCTATTGCGTCTAGTCACGTTTTCGATGACGATCGATAACCGGGCAATTCGATCGAACGCAATTTAACACTCGGCACAGCCGCCGTATTCAGATGATGCAGCGCACGGTGTGGCATAATTCAAAGACGAACGATAATTTTTCAAAACAAACTTCGCGTCGTTACGTACAGAGGAAATTAATCGATCCCTCGAAACGTTGAAACGCCTGGAAACCGCATTATCGATGACGGCGTGAGTCTCGGTGGAACGGGATTTTCTGAACAGAGAAATACCACCGGCACACGATCGATACACTCTAACGTCAGGCTAGCGGAGCCTCTTAAGGGAAATTCGCCCGGGAAACGTATCACAATGCTATCATTGTTCCAGCCTCGATCGTATCGATTCTGCGTTACGATTTCCCTGGTACCGTCGTTTCCCGTTGGCAGGAAAGAAAACGTTCGTGTTCCCGGAATAAGTCACGTTTAAAGGTCCACCGTCGAAAGGAAACAACCGTCGAAGGCCCGCGTAAGCGTCGAAGAGGGCGGAGGAGAGGCACAGTGTTCGAAGCGCAACCGCGGTTTCGAGATCTTCCGGTCAATCGGTTTACCCACCAAGTACGACGATTCACTCCGGGCGGTGCTCCGTTGCCGGCGCGATCACAGCAACCCAAGTTTCTATTATTTCGTATTCCCGGGAGCGGGCATTTGGGCGAGGTTAGTATTGGAAGCGCGAAGAGGTCAACGCTCGGGAAAGCGCCTCTCGTTACGGCACTGCCATACGATATTATAGGCCCCGTCGCTCGGAAATCCCCTTCCAAACGCCTCCACCACCTCCACTCGCTCCTTCTCTTTCTCTCTTCCTCTTTCACTCGGAATTATCTTTCTTTCCCTCTACAGCTGTTTTCCTCTCTTCCTCCTTCTCTCTCTCACACGTACAGTCTCCCTTCCTCCAACAACCACCTCTCTCCTCCTCTTATCATGTACTCTCTTTCATCTATCCGTCTAAAAAACGCGATATTCTCGCGTGGCTTTTTCTCCGTTTCCATACCTCCCCTCCTAACCACTTGTCCATCTCTCTCTCTCTCTCTCTCTTTCTCACAGCTTCAACCCTTTGTTCTGTCTTTGTCTGTACAGCGTTTCTCTGTCCTGTTTCTATACGTTATTCCCTCTACTGTACACGTTCGTGCAACACTCTCGGTGGCTTCGTTTTGTTCTTGCTTTCTTCGCTTTTCCGCCTTTTTCCTAGCTGTCCCTCCGCCTCACGCTCCTTCTACACTCTTCCACCACGTCAACGTTCTCTCTGCATCTCTCTCTCTCTCTCTTTCTCCCTCTCTATCAGTGTAGCGTGTTCTGCTGTGCCGGTAGCTTTCAGCCGGTCGCACGCATTGTGCCGTTATAACGGAGGAGAGAACTGCTCTCTATCCGACCATGCAAGCGAACGGTCAGCTGCGAAATCATCGAGATGCCGTCTAACCAGAGTCACTGCGGGAGCTCGATCATCGAGAAAACCGCCCTTGCTCGATCGCCACCCTTATTATCTAACCCTTTGCGCTCCAGTGGCACCGTTACGGCGTAATGTGCACCGTAATTTGCATCTCGACCGAAAATTAGGAGATCGTTTTTGCAGCTACCGTAGCACAAAGAACTGTGAAACATAAAATTCGTGTTATATTTTTCTGTTTTTTTTTTTTTTTAGAAATAAAATATTTGGGTTTCGAAAGTTTCGCTGCAAAAGTGTGCCGGAATTGTCGGTCGATCGCAATTAAAAATGTTCAGAGCGCAAAGGGTTAATGAAAGAAACTTTTGCGTCAACGACATAAAAAGCTGTAGTAAGGAGTAATGTAGTATTTTGCTGGAAAACAGTGGAATGATTGATTGGCAGGTTCTAATCAACTGACACGAATCGATCTTCTTTCTTCGTTTCTTTTTTTTTTTGTTCCATCGAACTGCACCAGTGAAGTAAACTGGAATCAAGGCCATCGATGCAAAAACACTTTAGAATCCTTTCGCGGCGATGAGTCACCTCGAGTTCGCTAGGTATTACGTGGCAATGAAACGTTCGAGCGGCAACGTTACGAGCTATCGTTCCATTGTAACGAGCAACAAATTGCCGGTGTAGATTAACGGGTCGCGTTCATCTCCGGTTGCGAAATAACCGGTGGACTTATCCTCTGCTACTCTTGTCACCCCCTCGTTCAGTTATCCAATCGAACCTGCCTCATTATCTCAACATAAAAATGTCGATCTAACCTGTTGATACATGTCCCAATTGTCGGAAACTTTGGACCCCAAAAATTCCTTCTAAAAAGATATTCACAAGATATCTTTCGCCTAACGTAAGATCGAGTGATCGAAGGAAAGCGTTGAAGTGAAGCTACCAGCTTCCAAAGCACCAGCTCTGTATCCAAAAAGTGCCTTTCGAAAATACGTTTACAGAGATGGTATTTGAGCTACCTCTCATCTAACGAGAAATCGAGTGATCGAAGTAAAACTAGCGATCTTCCACCGATACAAAGAAATAGAAGAGCTTATCACTCTATTTCCCAATTGAAAAACACCGTATATCCGAAAAATGCTGGTTAAAGACGACACATCTAAACGATTTCTCACCTGACAAGGAATCACGCCGATAAAGCAAAAATTATAACACGGAAAGTGTTTCTGAAAAAATTTGCATTATCTCTCAGCCAACAGGAAATCACGTGATCGAAGGAAACCGATAAAGCAAAAATTAGAGCACGTTATACATCCGAGAAAAAATTCACGAACACGATATTTGCATTATCTCTCAGTCAACAGGAAATCACGTGATCAAAGGACACCGATGAAACAAATTACAACACACTGCGCATCCGAAAAGTGCGTTTCAAAAAAATTCACGAAGACGATATTTGCATTATCTCTGAGCCAATAAGGAATCACGCGATCGAAGGACACCGATGCACCTTCCAGTCACGAGTGAACGAGTCACCGGCGATAAGCAACATTGCACAGTGCTCCCCATCGCAGATAAAGGAGCTCACGAATTCCTCGTGGAAGCAACGAGCGGGCAAACATCGTTCGGGGATTGTCAACGTGGATGATCGACGTGCACGTGCCGAAGACACGCGAGAGTCGTAAAGAGGAGGAAAATTGTAAGGTCGACGGAAGCCCGAAAAGGCGTCCAGAGGAACTGTTTCCGGAGCAACGAGCAAATCCAGAAAAGGGAAAAGACTCCTCTATGCCGTTGTTCTCTCCCTTCTTCGTCGCCCGTGTACAATGATGCTCCGCGGAGCGAGAACTCCGCGAGACCCATTCGGGAGGATCGTAAAAGCTACGGACGCGCCATAGCCCGACACTTTCTCCCTTTCAGGCTGCGCAATCCTCGCCTCTGGACACGGGACAGAGAGACGATTAATGCTCTTCTCTCTCTCTATCGCGAGTGCCAGGTTACTGCAATCTCGCAGACTGCGCAATGCAACTTTTCTACCGTGGTCCTTTGCTTAGGTGACTTCCTTCGGTGATCGTGCGAGGTTCCTGAACCCTCGAATAGAAATTTGTAAACTGAACGTTTCTCAGGTTTTAGAATTATCGTCGAATGGCTAGAAACGTGTAGCAATAAAAATGGGATTTATGGGACTCTTCGAAGGTTCAGAATACACGTGTACCAGCGGATTTGTGTGTAGATATTTCGACAGAGAGAGACAGAGAGAGAGA